CACACACACACACACACACACATACACACACACACACACACACACACACACACACACACACACACACGTTTTAGTAAACCTTATCAGGGACAGATATTGGTTTGAATTTCATCCGAGTTAAATAGAGGGAATATGTTCGGAAAGCCATGTTATATGTGTTCAATTATTTGTTATTAGAAGAGATCTACCAGTCAGACTCGCAGACTGACAAACAAATTGAGAGCAAAGAAAAACTTGAATAAGGAGAATGCGATAAAGAAAATCACGGCAGCCGTGGTTCAGAAAAGAGAGGTAAAAAAAAATACCCCAAGTAAAAAGAATAATAAAATCAGGTTGAAGTTGATGCCATTCCGGAAATGGAGAGGGGGCGTGGCGCAGAAGACCCCAGCAGTGCAGACGATATAGCTCTGCGCCATAGAGGTGAGACCGGGACAGACGGTGTATTAGCAGCGAGAACATCATCCAAATTCGCGAATGGAAACTAAGGTATGTACCATGCTGATGTGAAACATAACTGGGAACACTGTTACAACTTCTGTTTTGTAAAAACAAGTAGCGTTCGCCATTCTGAAGCGCTTATACTATTTGTTGAGATATTAGGCAAGTTTCAACCACGTTTTCTTGTCTCTATTTTGTTTTGTACTAATCTAGGGAGAGTTGGAAAGTATACTTTTTTTAGAACGTTTATCCACACAAAAATGAACTGATTTATGTATGTTTTGTAAGGGTTTTTTTTTTCGTAAGCTAATTTGTTTTGTTTTGCTTGTTGTTGTTGTTTTGTTGTTGTTATTGTTTACTTATTTGTTCGTCTTGTTTCGGGGGGTTTTGGGGTTGTTGTTTTTTTTTTGGGGGGGGGTTCTCTTCATTCTACCCAACATGGCGGTCGAGTTGTCACCCCACACAGCCCACGGCACTGCCTGTCCCTGTTCCTCGTTCTGTGGCCACTGCTCAGCCGGGCATCAAGCAGACAGGCAGCGGAGCCAGGCCGGCCTATGATTACCTCGGTCCCCCGGAGTGGCCGAACACGTCCCGCCCAGCAGGGTGCCCAACCCGGCCTGGAAATAAAGCTCAGGCCAGATAACCGCCCGCGGCTCCAACCAAGCCCGCCCCGAACCTGCCAGCCTGCCCCAGGAGTTGGCCTGTGTGTGCCCACTAGTGTGTCAACGAGAGTGTGAATGCACCTTGAGGTCGCAGTGCGGGCTGTAGAGAGCGGGGGCCTTGGGTCAAATCCCAGCAGGGGGCCGCTCCTGGCCTGTTCAGGATGTCGGCTGTTCACCCCTGCTTGGCTCGGCTATTACACTACACTGTAGGCTACAGCGGGCGAGGCCTCCCCGC